GAAATTCAACTTTACATTATGGTGAAAATATATTGATATTTGATGGAAGACGATAAAATCTTCAATTCCACTTTGTAAAGTTTTTAGTAAAAGAATTATGTGTTGGTATAGAGAGAAAAGAATTCAGAAAGTTAGTTATAAACTACTAATTCCCCTCTGTTGATCTAAGACGAGAGGAAGAAACGAAATTATCAGATTCAAAATGCAATTGGTTTTTAAAAATCAGTTAAACAAGTGGCACCAGTCGTCTAATAGCTAAAGTTACAGAAGGTTGTTAAATTCGGTATTACTAACTAAACATGACCATCTCTGTTAGTTGCTGTCAGTTCCTAAATCAAAACACAGCGTTTTGGTTCCACAATGAAGCTTTATGCAACAAACAAAGAATCAAACTTTCTGCCCCTTGTTTACCAGCTCATCCTCTTTGACACGACAGTCTTCTCTCTCTAGCGTTTCTTTATTATGTTGACGGAATAACAATTTCCTCCATACAGTTTGAGGAAAATAATATACCCAAAAAAGTTGCCAAATCTTAACAGAATCTCAATTTTTTTTTTGAAAAGACTTTAATACCGTTTGTCTTTTATACTTCCCTCTCCTATTTTATTTCATTCAAATTTATTTTTAGTTTATAATTTAATTATTGTTGGTTTAGTCTGTTTGTAATAATTAAATTGTTAATTTAAATAAAAATTAAATCTCATATCAAAAAATCTATTCTCCTTCTCCTTCCTCAACCCACATTTGTTCTTTACATATCATATTATATAGTTGAATTAAAAGTAGAATATAAAAAATAAAAATAAGGTTATTATAGTTTTGATATGAGAGAAAATAATTCACCACCCCTATCTATTGGAAATCATCACTCAAATGATGACTTTTCTAGTTTTAATCAAACTCAATTGAATCATCACCCCAACCTGTCTTTTCCCAAGCTATTGAACCACCCTCATCCCCCTCCCAAGCGGTCGAACTGCCCCCGTTGAGCTGAACCAACCACAGTTGCCCCATATCGCACCAAAATCCGAACCCATCCCTTTCCAAATCATCCATCAAGCAACCCACCACTATAGTGTTCACTATTCACCCACACAACCAAACCACCACCACCACTACAGTCGTCCCACCCTACACAGCAGTGCCCACAGGCAGGAATGGACCCAGCCCCTTGGAGGGTAGGCCTCACATTTAAAAAAAAAAAAAATTGTTTATATAGCGCATAAAAAAATCTATTAATATATATATCTAGGTCAATCATGAGATTTAAAGAAAAATGAGAAATATTATACATATATCCAAGCTCATAAAAACCTTACTATTAATATATATATTCCAAGCTTATATCATATTAAAAGTTTAAAACTCTCTTTACTCTTCTCTACATCCATCTGTTTTTTTATGTTTTTATCCTCAAAATTATTTACTCTTTCATTCTCTCTTTCACTTTCTCTATGTTATTTATTCTTAAAACTTTTGAGGACTGAAATTGTTGAAGCTTGCACTAATCAAGATGTCACAATTAGTTTCGTTTTCTGTTTTATTAGTTTTAAATATGTGTATTGCTCATTTCATTTTAGATTATTTTAGGGTTGAATCATGCTTATTTTTTTTAGGTTTTTTATTTTAATTTGATGGGAAAAGGTATGGATCTTGTAAGTTTGTTTTGTGTTTTGTGTCTAAGAATGTTCCTACTTTCTCAATTTAAACCTTAACTATATTTTACTGAATGTTATTTTTCACCCTTCACCCACCACTTTCCTATATTTCAAACATCACCATTTAGCTGCTTAAAATTATTAAAGTAGTTTGAGTTATTATCTATGTTTATACTAAGAAAATTTTGCCTTTTTTTTATTAATTCATATTAAAAGTCAAGGCAACGTTGACTTAATTTAAGTTTTAGTTGACTTTAGCTTAGGTTAAGCCTGATCAAAGTCATGAAAATTTATATTATAATCTTTAAAAGCCAAAAAAAAAAAAAAAATTAAAAGAAAAAAAAGAGGAGAAATAAGAAATTTGTTATTTGTATATAATATTTTTGGTGGATTGTGATTGTTGTAAACTCTTTTAATTATATTGGATTTAAGTGGATCGTCAAATTCCATGGTCTTTTGCTCTCTTTAATTGAAGAGGTTTTTTCATGTAAAAATTTTCCTGTATTTTCTTGTGAATTGGATATTATTTTCAACATAATTTGTTCAAGGTTTTGCTTCTCATAGATTTATTCAAGTAGTAAAGTATTGTGTTATTACATTATTTTCTTTCAACATAATTATAGTCTTTTGCTCTCTTTAATTGAAGAGGTTTTTTCACGTAAAAATTTTCTTGTATTTTCTTGTGAATTGTATATTATTTTCAACATAATTTGCTCAAGGTTTTGCTTCTCATAGATTTAGTCAAGTAGTAAAGTATTGTGTTATTACATATTTTTCTTTTAGATTATTGATATTGTATTATTTTTTTTGACTTAAGGTTTAATGATTTATTTTTTAAGTTTTCACTAATTGTTTGACAACAATTGAGGAGCTTCAAAGGCCCCCCGGGTAAAAATCCTGGATCCGCCGTTGCCCAGAGGCCTCCACCCACCTCTCCAAAACAATACCCACTATGAAGTAAATCGGCCCAACCTAACACAACACAAGCAAGTAAACCCAAATCCACACCATCAATTATAATTTTTTTTTTTTAAAAAATAAAAAAAGAAAAGGAAAGTGGGAAGGAAAGAAAAATGGAGAAGGTGATGCCACGGGGTGGGGAGGAGGTTGCTTGCGGAGCGATGGACAGAAAGGGCTGGCGCGTAAGCGGGGGATGAGGGGGAGGCATCTGATAATGGGTGGTCTTTTTATTATTTTATTTTTTTCTCAAATTTAATTAAAAAATTTCTAACATTCATCTCCCAACTGCCTACAGTAACTCTCACAGTTCGTGTATCTGCTTGGAAATGGAAGAACAGTTTCTCTCTCTACTGGTTCTGGGTTTTGCTCTACTGGTTAGCGGTAAAAAGGAAGAAGACGCACTTTAAAGCGAATCACAATTTAACCCCGTTGGAGATCTGATTGTCAATAACATTAAGTTGGTGAATTTCGAAATTTTAATTCATTATAAGGGTTTTTCTGTCTTTTCAAAGGTCTTTACGTTGTCTGATACTTCTGCTTGGGAGTTTTATGGTAACGGTTATGAGGGTAAACCATTATAGCGGTTTTGAGAGTAAACCACCGTAGCGGTTTTAAGGGGTTTTTAGTAGCCGTTTTTAAAACACTCAACCTGTGCTTGGGAGTTTATTTTCCAACAGTTCTGATAGTTTTTTTAAATGATAAATTTACATATATGTCTATAAAAATACTACAACTTAAACATTTAAATAAAAAGAAGTACAAATCAGTAAATTTTAATATTGTCTATCTTTCGCTTTCTTGACACAAACACAACCAAACAAAGTTAAAACACTCTCTCTTTGCTATATCCTCTGTTTTCTTTTGGGTTAGATATCTGCTTTCATATGCTATATAAATTATATGTTTCATTGTAAAAACTTTGTTTTGTACATAAATTTCTTCCATTTACTGTAACCTGATTTTTTAAACTTCAAATTGTAGAAAATTGTATTCTACAGTGACCGGGATACTTATCCTTGTTACTCCACTTAAATAAGTACATTATTTGGTCAATTTGATAATTATAAAAATGAATATTCCCAATCACACAATGATATAAGTCACAATCCCCCGTTACAATACCACGTCATGACCGAAATTTGCCAGTCCTGCATAAATTATTTAAGGAAACAAATTAACATTTGTTTTACATCAAACTGAGAATTTCATGAGACTGGATGTCTGCAGCAACGGTTTCCAATTAAAGACTTATGTTACATTGCTGAGATAGAAGGAATGAAAAGTAAATCACATTCTTGGAAGTTATTAAATAAAACTGTCAATAAATCAAAGTGAACTAACTAATTATTTTGAAGATTATAGCCAGAAAAAACGAGTAACCATTTTCAAAATGAAATCAGATAGAAACAGAAAAAAACAAGAATCGAAGAAGCTGGAGAAGGAAGAATCAAACGAGGAGGCTCTGCGACTTTTTTTTTTAGCAGCAAAGGGATTATTAGTGGAAAGGGTTTTTTTGGAATAAAATTTTTAAATCAGCCAAAATACCCCGATTTGGGGTGTTTTATAAATCCCTAAAAAATACACTATATTGGTTTTGGGGGGTTTTTAAACCAGTCAAAATCAGCCCATTAAAAATCTGGCAAATAATGGTTTTTAAACACCTCAAAACTAGTCTAATTAAAAACCTCCCAAAACCAGTGAAAAAAAAAAAAAAAACTCCCAAGCAGTACCCTTAAGCTTTGGTTCAGGTATATTTATGACTTTTTTTTTTTTTTTTTTTTTTTTGGTTGGCTATGTTTCACAAGATTCTCACTAATAGGTGTCCCCAAATTGATCAATTTGAAATTGCTATCCCTTTTATTTTGACAAAACATTGTAACTAAATTGATAATATCCCTTAATAATACTAACATATATAATTAAGAATTAATAATATTCACCTATAATTGTTGTTAATTCTTTAAATCAAGCAATAATAAAATAATATAATTGTAACATACCATTTATTTTAATAAATATAAGGATAAATTAGTAAAATATATCTAAGGAAGCTTTTAATTTAGAAATGCTCAATTTAATAGAAAAAAAAAATCTCATATCCAAAAATATAAAAAAACTTATATGAGACCATTTTACCGATATAATGACATATAAAGTCAGTTTTCATAATCACCATTATGGTGGCAGTTATTGATGAGCAATATAAGGTAGTTATTAATCAATCATCCTTATAGATAGATGAAAGATAAAGTTTAGTATATATGTGACAACATATACCACTATTTTATTGTACAATCTCACTACCTCATCTAAGTATTTGTTCTCAAAATAAAGTACACAGTCATTTGTGTATAACGACTATATTGCACATGATCTAAGGATGATCAATATTATCAAGAAATGTATTGGGCCAAACTTTTAGATTGGTTATAAACTTATCCTTCAAATTTTATGCAAGATGATCTGAGCGCCATACTGAGGTTGAAGCGTGAGAACAATGGCAGGAGAATGAGTATAAGTAGGTGACAACTGAAATGAGAAATGCTGTAAGATTTGAGATAACGCCAGTTTTGCCTCAAGCATTGCAAAGTTTTGCCCGATGCATATTCTTGGTCCGTAACCGAAAGGGAAGTACGAGACTTGATCCTTAGAAGCCTTTGAAATTCCTTCGGAAAATCTTTCTGGGTTGAACTCCATTGCATCTTCTCCCCATTGTTCTGGATCCCTATGGACAAGGTCCATTGGCATGAACAACTCCACTCCTGCTGGTAAACAAAGATCTCCCAATTTGGTTTCTTTTACTACAGTTCGAAGAAGTAAAGTTGGAGGATACAATCTGAGAACCTCGAATAGGATCATATTTACCTTCCAGTGAGAACCAAAAAAAAAAAAAAAAAAAAAATTGTCATTGTCTTAAGAAAGAATGAGTTTTCTTTAGAACATGAGTCAAGATCACTAATGAATTTTTTTCTTATTATTTTCTAGATGCATTTTATTTATAAAATGGGCAAAAAATAATATTATTTAAAAATTGATATGATCAATTTTTTTTTTTTTTTTTTTGTTTATTTTTGGTCTTAACGTCTACCATTAGTCTATGCATTAAGACGACACAAAGAATTAGGAGATTCTTTTAGTCTATGTTCTACTATGCCTTTTAAAGATCTAATGGCACTTGTATATCAATGAGTGTTTGTGATTGAGATTTATTTCATGTTTTTATCTTCTTTACTATAATAATGGTAGGTTCATAACCCCTGGTGTGACAGCTCGTTATATGTTAGCTCATAAATGGGCAAGCGAAACCTGATAGAATTTGAGGTGGGTTTGACTCCTCACCTAATAAGGTCTTGTTGAATGGGAGGATTACCCACTTTTATAAACTAGTAGGCTTAAGCGTGCCTAATCGATGTGAGACTCTACCACTCCCCCTCACGGTCAAGCCTATATGTTGGGTCATGCCTATTATTAGAGGTAGTTGTTGGCTCCAACTCCTCACCCGCTGGTCAAACACTCAGCTCAACTAAACTTGGGCTTTGATACTGTGATAGAATTTGAGGTGGGTCTGACTCCTCACCCAATAAGGCCTTGTTGAATGGGAGGATTACCCCCTCTTGTAAACCAATAGGTTTGAGCGTGCCTAGTCGGTGTGGCACTGTAACAAAACCCATACAAGCAGGTGGGACCTATTTTATGAGTTGACCAATAACAAGATGTCACGACGAAGATTATAAGAGAAGATTGTGAGATTGGATTATGGACTTACCATTACACTATTTACTATTCACCAATTACTAGATTGTAATTGGTTCAAATAAAGCTCATCAAATCATAAGAGAGAATCCTAACCCTTAAAAATGAAGAATTGCATAACTTTCTAAATACAATTAGGATCATATCCGACTAGAAATACTTACATGTGATAGTCTTACCACCTCACCTAGCTGACGTGGTGAGACTGTCCAATGAAATAGTGTTGCCCTAAATATGCCAAGATTTCTCTTTCATCTACCTATCGATATGATTTATTAATAACTACCTTCTACCATTTATCAATAATCACCAATATGATGGGTGGTTATGAAAACTAAGGCTCCGTTTGGTTCAAAATTTAGGGGTTTTGGGAAAAGTTTTTTGAAAAAAGTTAAAAAAAAGTTGAATTGGGCAGGTATTACGATGTAGAATTTATAAATTAATAAAATACCCTTTATGTTTGTTTTTTTACAAAATACCCCTTATAATAAAACATTAAAAGTTAACAAAAATACCCCTAACCCACCCTCAAACACCCCCAGCCGGCGACCACCACCGGAGGTGGCCGGAGTCGCCGTATGGGCGCATGACCGGTTGGATCTTGCCGGTCATGCGTCGCTATGGCCTTTTCCGGCCAGATCCACGGTGGATCTGGCCGGAAAAGGCCAGATCTACGGTCAGATCTGGCCGTCAACGGCCAGATTTGGCCGTATTTGCTCTCAACGACGGCCAACAAACGGTTGTCGTTGATGGTCAACGACGACCGTTTGTTGGCCATCGTGACCGAGTGTTACGGCCAAAGATCTGGCCGTCAACGGCCAGATCTTTGGCCTTAGATCTGGCCTTTTCCGGCCAGATCCACCGTGGATCTAGCCGGAAAAGGCTAGATCGGCGCACTACCAGCCAGATTCAGCCGGTAGTGCGCCATCCTACCAGATTCCGGCTATTTTCCGGTGGTGGTGGCCGGAATCTGGTAAATGTGGATTATTGGGGTGTATTTGTAATTTTAAAAAAAATATTTAGGGGTATTTAATTAAATTATCAAATGTAAGGGGTTTAAAAAAAATTGAATAATATTGGGAGTAGTATTCCAAAAAATCTGAGTTTTTAGGTATTTTACTGTTTAATTTTTTTGGGAATACTAAAAGTAGTATTCCCAAATGTGATACAAACGCAGCCAAGACTATCAAGTTTAACATGATCTAACATGTTTTAATTAGATTGTTAAATTATATAATTAAATAATAGACACAGTTTTAGACTATCAATTATAGCATAGTTTAATAGTATATATTAAAAGTATACCATTTGTTATTTCATTAAGAGTATAGTTAATAATTTACTAAATTTTCTAGTTAGATTTGTCCTTTAAATAAATTTTATATATTTCGAGGAAGTATGATTATTAAGTTAAACTATATATATCCAAACCCCTAAATGATAATCCGTATTATTAATAAATCATGATAAAAGCGAAAGTATATTATGCATATAAATACATATGGAATTATTACATTGAATGATTTTATCAAATATGTATGACATGATTTCAATTTTTACTGAACAATCTCATAAAGTAACTGGTGTAAGTAAACTATCTCATATAAATTTATATTAATTGTCATCTTGTTTAAGTTTCGTAATTTTTTTGCGTGAATTAAGGAGTGAAGCCACTAAGACTTTTTGAGAAAATAAATAAATACAAATCAACTAAACTCCTCTTCTCAAAAACCTCCCTTGAAATCAACTGTCTCCGTCTCTCACTAAGAGCTTCAAGTCTTCAACAAAATGTCCCAGAAACCAAGAACTACACCAGATCTCCCATGGAAGATCCGCCTATTTTACTCCACCTTCACCTTCGCCGTTGACATCACTCGCCGCTCCAACATCACTGTCAACCGCCGTCTCTTCAACCTCGTTGACCTCAAATCCCTACCTTCAAAAAAACCCATCAATGGCGTCACCACCACAGACATCACAGTAGACCCCTCTCGCAACCTCTGGTTCCGCCTCTACACGCCCAAAATCACCGACAGCGACAGCACAAAGCTCCCCGTCATAGTCTACTTTCACGGTGGAGGCTTCGTCTTNTCTTAAAATTATGGATGGATTTTGAATCTTTGATTATCATGAACTCTTGACTGACTTTATGAAGTGCAGTAATGGTCACGGAACTTGCAAGAAATCATAATGAGGTAATTATATTTCCTCTAAGATTTCAAGAAATAACAATTTGCCCCTCGTATATATATTATGAAATAATAATTTACTATATATTGACGGTATTTTATAGGGATGTCGATGTCTAATCTAACCGACCTTATATGTCATATCATTTGATAGTCACATGTGTTGTTGTTAAGAAATGAGAATGTGTGGTTTGTTAATCAATGGAAGTCCAAGTCAAGCACAAATTTATCAAGTAAAGTCCAAGTCCAACAAAGAAAAGACCCAAACATTTAATAAGTCCAAAACAGCCCAAAGAGCATTCCCATGTTCTTTCATTTTGGGCCTCCTTTGAGGAATTTCAAGGCTCAAACTCATGTACTTTTATTAGTAGGATTTAATTAAGTACTATTATGTTTAGTTTATTATCCTAGGTGGTATATTTATTTTACTTAATTAGTTAATTATCCTTATAATGCTACTATAAAAGCAAACTCTCTCTCATTTTGTAAGGTTGAACAATGAGATTGAAAATTAAATATTTGAGAGGAATGACTTTCCTTTTGTCTTGAAATCTTTATCTAAGTCTTGACAAGGGATTTAATGGTGATTCAACTTCAAGTTAGTGGAGAAAGCCTTTATGCTTGGAGATCTCTTCTTGTCTCTATCCCTTTTTATTCAAGTGTTCTTGTGTTTCATCTTACCTTAGCCGAATTTTTAATGGTAGGTAGTGTTGTTCAACTCTAGTTGTACGTGTTTTGTGTTGTGTTTGCATGATTTTGGAGTTGAAATACCTTATTGAAACGCGAATAAAGGTTGTGAAGAGTCTTGCTTAACAAAGACGGAGATATGAATATATATTAAAATTAATTTATAAGGAAATATTGGGTTAACCCTAAGCAGTTAGCTCCCTTCATTGATTATCTGGGTTTAAACTACCTTAAGGTTATCCATCATATTCATGGCTAATCTGAAATATTGAGCTTATAATATGTTTAATGAATCACAGAAATTAGTTGAACTATGTGTAAATTGAAATATCTACGATTATTAATTAATATATATATATATATATATATATTAATTAACAATCGAGATATTTCAATTTATACATATTTCAACTAATTTCTGTGTATATATATATATTCAGTTCATTTATAAACTTTACCCTTTTTCATTTTTCTACATCGAATTTAGCGAAATTCATGATTGTTTACCCTTTTTTTAAAGTTGTATCTGCAGAATATAATGAGCCCCATTATTTTATATAAATATTCATTAAATAATTATCTTTTATCTTTCTTCTTAATATTTAATTATCTCTTTCCAAACATAAATTTTCATTTTAAATCCATCTTTTTAATATAAAATTGTTAATCTATAAAATGACACATCCCTTCATAAAATTGTTAATATAAAATTTTCTTCTTAAAATAACATATCCCTTCATATGTGAATTTTAGGATGTGTGGCATTTACTTTTTTCTTTATTGTGACCTTTTGTTAATCTATAACAGGGTGTGAATAAAATAATTTCCATACATAAAATATACAACCATATAACAAGGAGTTGATATTTATTTAAATAAAATTCAAGTTTACATTATGGTGAAAATATATTGATATTTGATGGAAGACGATAAAATCTTCAATTCCACTTTGTAAAGTTTTTAGTAAAAGAATTACGTGTTGGTATAGAGAGAAAAGAATTCAGAAAGTTAGTTACAAACTACTATTTCCCCTCTGTTGATTCTAAGATGAAATCAGCAGATTTAAAATGCAGTTGGTTTTTAAAAATCAGGTACACAAGGGGCATCGGTCGTCTAACAGCTAAAGCTACAGAAGGTTGTTAAATTCGGTATTACTAACAGAACTGACCTTCTCGTAGTTGCTATCAGTTCATGAATAAAAACACAGCGTTTTGATTTCACAATGAAGCTTTATGCAACAAACAAAGAATCAAACATTCTGCCCCTTGTTTACCAGCTCATCCTCTTGACATGTCAATCTTCTCTCTCAGACATTTCTTTATTGTTGAAAGAATAACAATTTCCTCCATGTGGTTCGAGGAAAATACAACGCCCCAAGGTTCTGAAAAGTCACAAAAATATCCAAAAAATTTGCCAAATCTTAACAGAATCTCAAATTGTTTGAAAAGACTTTAATACCCTTTGTCTTTTATACTTCCCTCTCTATTTTATTTTAAGTTTAGAATTTAATTATGGTTGATTTAGTCTGTATTTAATAATTTTACTGTTAATTAAAATAAAATTAAATCTCATAACAAAAATCTATTCTCCTTCTCCTTCCCCACCCCATATGTGTTCTTTACTTATCATATTATTATAGTTTTTATATGAGAGAAAATCATTCACCACCTGGAAATCATAACTCAAATGATGACTTTTCTAGTTTTAATCAAACTCTCTTGAATTATTAAAAAATCGTCATTAACTAGCCCAATCCTGACTCTGTTATAACTTATTCTCTAATTGATAAATTTCTGTAAAATGATTTATTACCCTTATTTTCTAACATTAAACACTAACATAATATATATATAACACCAACACAGCTCCCCATATCGCACCAAAATCCGAACCCATCCCATTCCAAACCACCACCATAGCAACCCCACCCCTTTTGGGAAATATTTTTATAACCATCCATCAAGCAACCCACCCACAATAGTGTTCACCCACACAACCAACCCCACACCAGAATCCACCCTACACAGTAGTAACCACAGAACCCCACCACCTCTCCAAAAAAATACCCATCATGAAATAAATCAACCCAAACAACACGACCAAATAAACCCAAATTGACACCATCAATTATTTTATGAAAAAAAAAAAAAAAAGAAGTGAAAAGAAAGAAAAATGATCTAATATATGATAATTCTCGTGGGTATATATATGATTAATAGCTATATATATGATAATTCTTTAATAAAGACATCCGGTATAATTTTGTTAGAATCATGTCTTAGAATAATTATGGTGGGTAGTCATCAAATTTCTGACCTAAAATTTTTTATATAATTAATAATAAGGAGATTATCGACTTAGGTACAAATATATTAAAATACTAAAAATGGGACAGAAGTTTCACATTGATCAATTAGGGATATTAACAATGAAACTCTATTGAAATTTAACTATAAAAAGAGAGAAATCACTTTCGTCTTCCTCTTACCTTACCCAGGAAAAAATATTTAGGTTCAGGAAGATTTCATGGAATGTGGTTGTTTGTTGACAGGTTGAAGTCATTGCGTCATGATGGGTTAAGAAATTATATTGGTTATTTTATGTATTATGTTTTCTTTGGTGCTTGTGATCACTTATTGTGTATCTCTTTCGGAATGGAAGAACAGGTTCTCTCTCTATGGTTATGGGTTTTGCTCTGCGGATAGGGGTAAAAAAGAAGAAGACAGCACTTAAAATCGAATTACAATTTAACCCGTCGGAGATCTGACTGTCAATAACATTAAGTGGTGAATTTCGAAATTTTATCTTATAAGGGTTTTTTTGTCTTTTCAAAGGTCTTTATGGGTCAGGGATATTTATACTTTTCACTTTTTCTTGGTTAAGTTTCAGAGACTCTCAATGGTAGGTGTCCCTAAATTGATCAATTTCAAATAACTATCCCTTTTATTTTGACAAAACATTGTACCTAAATTGAATATCCTTAATATTAACATATATAATTAAGAATTATAATATTCAGCTATAATGTTGTTATTCTTTAAATCAAGCAATAATATAATTGTAACATACCATTTATTTTAATAAATATAAGGATAAATTAGTAAATATATCTAGGAAGCTTTTAATTTAGACATGCTCAATTTAATAGAAAAAAAAAAAAAAAAATCTCATATCCAAAAATAGAAAAAAACTTATTTGAGACTGTCTTACCATTCAATGATATAATGAAATATAAAGTCAGTTTCATAATCATCTATCATAATGGTAGTTATTAATGAACAATATAAAATAGTTATTAATCAATCATCCTACAAGTGGATGAAAGAGAAAGTTCAGGATATATATGACAACATATAATACTATTTATTAGACAATCTCCCCACGATATCTAAGTATTGCTCTCAAAACAAAGTATACAGTCATTTATGTATAACTACTATATTGCACATGATCTAAGGATGATCAATATTATCAAGAAATGTATTGGGCCAAACTTTTAGATTGGTGATAAAATATCCTTCAAATTTTATGCAAGATGATCTGAGCGCCATATTGAGGTTTAAGCGTGAGACAATGGCAGGAGATGAGTATATGTAGATGACAACTCAAATGAGAAATCTGTAAGATTTGAGATAACGCCAGTTTTGCCTCAAGCATTGCAAAGTTTTGCCCGATGCATATTCTTGGTCCGTAACCGAAAGGGAAGTACGAGACTTGATCCTTAGAAGCCTTTGAAATTCCTTCAGAAAACTTTTGGGTTGAACTCCATGCATCTCCTCCCCCTTGTTCGGATCCCTATGGACAAGGTCCATTGGCATCAACAAATCCACTCCTGCTGGAAACAGAGATCTCCCAATTTGGTTTCTTTTACTACGGTTCGAAGAAGTAAAGTTGGAGGATACAATCTGAGAACCTCGAGCAGGATCAATTCACCTTACAGTGAGAAAAAAAAAAAAAAAAATCATCATGGTCTTAAGAAAGAATTGGTTTTCTTTAGAACACGAGTTAAGATCACTAATGAATTTTTTTTATTATTATTCGATGCATTTTATTTATAAAATGGGCAAAAAATAATATTATTTAAAGTATTGGTATGATCAAATTTTTGTATTTTGTGGTTAACGTTACCATTAGTCTATGGATTAAGACAATTCAAAGAATTAGGAGACTCTCTTTAGTCTATGTTCTACTATGCCTTTTAAAGATCTAATGACACTTTTATATCAATGAGTGTTTGTGTTTGTGATTTAATTGAGATTTCATGTTTTTATCTTCTTTACTAATAATGATAAGTCCATAGCCTTCTCTCACAACACTTGACATAATAGTTCGTTATTAGTTAGCTATAAATGGGCAAACGAAACTCATTTTGCAAGCTGATCAATGACGAGTTATCACCGTCAAGGGTATAAGATAATATTGTGAGATTGGGTTATAGATCTAGCCTTACTTTTTTACTATTCACTAATTACTAGATTGTATTGGTTCAAATAAAGCTCACCAAATCATAAGAGAATCCTAACCCTTAAAAATGAAGAATTTAGAACTTTCTAAATACAATTAGGATCCTATCCAACTGAGCAAGAAATAATTACATGTGACAGTCTTACCACCTCAACTAACTGACATGGTGAGACGTCCAATGAAATTGTGTTGCCCTATATACGACAAGATTTCTTTTCATCCATCGCAGTATGATTGATCAAAACTACCTTCTGCTATTTATCAATAACTATCAATATGATGGTGGGTATGAAAACTAAAAACTCTATATGTCACTTTGTTATTAGACAGTCACCAAGTCAACCAGGGAATGAGAAGACTGTCTTATTAAGTTTACTCACTCTAAGTGCTCCAAAGGTTTTAATAACCCTGACCAGTGTATTTTACTTTTGCTTGGTTAAAAACAATTTTTAATATTCCTAAGTAAATATTAATCGCAAGTTTTTATTTACTCAAACAAAGCTCATATCAGGGAAAAAAAACAAAACCTAGCACCCAAAAAATAGACAGTAGTTGAACATTGAAATAAGCAACACTTACAATCTTCAAGTGGTTCAAGTCATCAAAAGTTGGTTTGTTTTTCCCAAGAATTTGCAGGACTTCTTCTCTAGTCGTCTTGCCAATTCAATGCGCTCAACACTACCATTGTCCATGTTAGCAAATTGGCTGTGGTCTCCTGACCAGCAAAGTAAAAAAAGTGCATTTTCCAAAAACATCTCAGTTGTCATGCCTCCATTTGAGTTCTGGCTCTCTTGAAGCTCATTCAAATTAGACTAACATCAGACCAAGTAAATCTCTTTATCCCAATCCTTTCCCATCTCTAGAGCCCTCTGTCTCTCTCTATTATTCCTCTTAATAGCTTTCGAACTCAGTGTAGATTTGCCTCATTTTTGTTTACTTTTGTGGGAAGAAACCTATACATACATAAATCATGGACAAAAATATTGTTAACCAAAAATGAAAACTATTTATAAAATATTTCAAGATTTTGAATATATTTAAATTCATAATGTGTCATATAATATCCAATCCCGCCCCAACTGAATAAAAGTTTAATGCTGGACTGAACAGCGAGAGAGAAATTTAAGATAGAATGAATGCACCTGAAAAGTGGGAATTTCTCAAACCAGACACGTAGCAGGAGTTCCCTGTTCTTGTTGGAGCAAAAATTTTTCTCCCTTCTTCAAAACTGTACCAAAAGTGCTCTTGATATAACATCACCAGTAAAGTTTTGAAACTCTTTAAACACATCCAATTCGCAAGAACCCTGACATTTACTGACTTGTCCCATTTCTCAATCAGTTCTTCACACAAGTAGAAAATGCAGGCACATTTGCTAATAACAGCACCAAATGGGAATCAAAATCAGGATTAAGAAATAGATATCAACAACATTAGAGTTAAGAGTAAGAAACTTAATTTCTCATATGAAAGGCAGGGTTGACAATCCTTCTGTGCTTGGACCATTTTTGACCCTCATAAACAGCAAGGCCAGTGGAAAACAACCTGATTAATGGACTAATTTCGTTCTTTGGGAAATCACCATTTTTGTTTGAGAGAACCTCTTTGATCAACTTGGGATACTGATTGCCACACGAGGACTTGTCCTACCAAACAACGAATGGCTTCTCTGCATATCATTCATACAGTAATATATTTCTTTTGTAACAAAAATTATTTTATTACCCTAAAAGTATATGGAATTTTAACCCACAAACCTTAAGCAACTATAATTTAGGATCTTTTATACTCTTGTGCAATTATTAATTTAAAACGTAATACAATTGTTAAAATAAGAATAAGAATAATAGAACCTGTACTATACTATAGAAAATCTAACATTTTTGAACCTTTTTTTTTTTTTTTTTTTTTGATAAAATAATAAACATCATTCGCTTACAAGTAAGTATATAACTTTTTTTTTTTTAAAACCACTTACCTTGTGTTCGGATGACAAGACTTTAATATCTGGGTAATGAAATAATTTCAATCTACTAGATGACTAAAGTGTGGCAAGATCACAAGAGAAGTTGTTATATATATATATAACCGAATGATGATTTTTTATTTCATTGCAAAAAAAAAAAAATAAAAATAAAAATAAAAAAAACCCTTACAATTAAGATCGAAAATCTCTCTAAAATCTTTTTTTTTTTTCTTTGTAAAAATCTTTATGAGTATCAAAATCTCCTCATAAAGGGTTATTAGTGAAGAAACGGGGTGATGAGTTGACAGTCTTATTTTTTATTTGTGTAAAGTTATTATATTTATACAATTTTTAATTGAGATCAAAATATAGCAGATAATTATTAAATGAATAATTAATTAATTTCTTTAATTTTCATGAAGAACGTCAAACAAACAAATCACTTACTGTAAGCGATGGCCAATTTGTGAAGCAAGGGATTGGCGCGAGGCACAGCATCGTGAGGTGATCCCGAAGGGCTTGACTTGGTTTCCTTTGCCAGCTTCATCATCTCCTTGAGTTCCCATACAGCAACCTGTATGGATATCCATGGATCCCTTGCTTTTTCAGTGCTTCTCTATCCTCTTTGGCCTCCACCATATCTTGTACAAGAATTTTAGGCCCCAGATTAATGGTATGATGATCACAAAATACAAGGCAAAAACCAAAAGCATATTGCCCATAACACTTGAAAAAAACCAGTATTCTCTCTCTTTTTCTCTTAAAATTATGGATGCATTTTGAATCTTTGATTATCATGAACTCTTGCTGACTTTATAAAGTGCAGTAATGGTCACGGAACTTGCAAGAAATCATAATAATCATGAAATAATATTATTTTATAGGGATGTCGGTGTCTAATCTAACCGACCTTATATGTGGAGTAATATTATTCATCCCATGTTTAACACTTGACATCAATCACATATAGTTTTAATGTTTAATTAACGGATAACAAAATAATAAATAAGTAAAATAACAAAAACCTCAATGAATAGCGATAAACAGAAGTAAATTGCTAACACGTAGCATTGTCATATCACTTGATAGTCACGGTGTGTGTTGTTGAAGAAATGAGAATGTGGTTATTAATCAACGGTGGTGGTCTAAAGATTTTAAAAACATAGTTTGACTAACGCTGATCGAGATACTATTTGTAATCTATATATATATATACACACACATTGTGTATTGTTCGTTTTTAACTTTAAGTTGGATCACAATGGGTTTGGGCAGTCCTCATCCCTAAAAAAAAACCAAGAGCCTTGGCTGGGCCCGATCCGTTTTATTAAGCGGGATTGGGTCGAAGATGTGGAAAACTCTGCAAATTCACACATTTTTACTTGTTTGGAGCTGTAAGTAGAGGTGAAACAAATAGATCGAATTAGGAGATCAACCCTAACTCGACCATAATAAAGCGGATTGAAACTGATGGATTGCTGTTTTGTCTCTACCAAAAGAGACCGTTAACCCGTCGGGTTGGCTGTTGTCAACCCAACAGGTTGGCCGAAAAAAAATTTAATTTGTTTTTCAAATTATCCATTTACCCTTGAAATATAGTCGTTGGAGATGTCTTTTCGTCATTTTTTCCCTTTTTTTTCTATAAATTGGCCCTAAACTCTCACATTTTTCTCACAACTCAAATTCTCTCATTCTCTATATTCTCTAATCTCTAATCTCTCAATTATTCATTTATTCTCTTAATCTCTTTGTTATCAATTTGCTCATATTTAATTTTTTTAGTTTTTGCAACTTTTAATTCATATTTCCAATTTTCAAATTCCAATTTCATATTCCAACTCTTTCTTTAATTTTTATTCTTCTACATCAATTTTTTTTTTCAACTACAATGGATAGATATTCTCTCCTATCAATTATAATGATGAAGGAAACTACTATCCTAGTCTTACTCTCGCTGATTTTACCAACATAAATACATGAGGAGATTCAAATAGTCCCGCTTTCATTCTCAGAATCCAATACACCTCAAAATATGCCCCCGATTCCAAAAGCTCCGGTGGTTCTAGAAGTCGTCCTCGTAATCGTCGTGTCGTCCAACTTCATCTCAAACTGAGGCGGGATCATCAACTGCCGTCGAAAGCGAAGACAGAACACATCAGACATTTGGGTGCATTTCGACAAGTTTTACGAGACAAAAAATGGTGTCAAGTCAAGAAAGCAAGATGCAAATACTGTGGAAATATTTATAAAGCTGATTCAGGTAATGGTACTAGTACTTAAAAAGGCATGCTAATAAACTATTAATCAACATGGAAATAGAGAAGCAATAAACTCAAATAACTAATATGGGTACTAATTGGCGTTATAATTCTGATGTATATAGGGAACAATTAGCTTATATATTGCTGCAACTGATGACCTATTAATATAGCTGAAGATAAATATTTGAAAGATTTGTTCAAAATTCATTTTTTCCAGGATTTAAAAGTTATTCTAAAACTACAACTAGAAATGATTTAATAAAATGTTTAAAAAAAGAAATTAGAATTAAAAAATAAAATACATACTTGTCATGTTAGTGTGGCTCTAACTGTGATATTGGAGTGGGAGAGCTAAATAAGATTATATTTGTGACTAGTCATTATTGATTAAGAATATAAATTAAATAAATCTTTATTAGGATTTAGATTAATGGATGTTGATCATAGTGGTAAACAAATTTATAATAAAATTGTTGAAGTTTTAGAAGATTATGATATTGTTAAAAAGTGATAGTTTAACTTTAGATAATGCAAGTTTTAATAGTAAAGCTATAGATTATTTTCAAAGTAATTATCCTTATATAACAATTTGAAGTTTTTTCACCAACGTTGTGCATACCATGTTATTAATTTAATGTGAAAAGTGGTATGAAAACAATTAAAGAAAATATTAATAAAATTAGAGATTGGTAGCTGGATAACTAGTAGTAATAAAAGAAATGTGAATTTCAAGACGCTTGTATAAAATCAAATATGTCTCCTAGAACTTTTGCATTAGACATGCCTGTTAGATGAAATAGTATTATTTAATGTTTGATTCATACTTACCTTATGCTAATAAATTAGTTATTTTGTAGCAATAATAAAGGTCCTTATTATTTGGTAGAAAATATGGCAAATAGCTAAAGTATTTCATTCTTTCTTAAAATTTTTTACCAATCCACTTTACAACTTTCTGGTGTGTATTATCCCATTAGTCTATTGGTAATACATACAATTATAAAAAATTTTGAGTTATTTATAAAAAACAAAGACATTGTAATTTTAAAGCACCAATAAAGGCAATGAAATTTTTTTTTTTTAAAATTGGAAACCCATTCCGTTTCTTTATGTTTATGTACTATATTTGATCTTAGAATTAAATTAGCAGGTTTAGAAAATGGTTTGACAATTATGGTAAATTTACAAACCGAAGTATATGCCAATCAAATAAGAGAGGTAAAAAATACACTTTTAGAGTATATTTCAATATGAAAACAGGTATGGGAACCCGCAAAGAGGCGAAACATCCAGGGAAGCAGCTATCAGAAGAAAACAATGAAGACTTCTACTCTTGGGGTGCACTGATAGGCCGAAGAGGACCCGAATCCGAAGCACAGCCTCCTCTCAGAAGCTCCACCAACAACAACAACTAATGTACTGCTTTCCATGCAGTCACAGAGTTGAGCTTCAAATATTTGGCAACCCTTGAAATGTTACCAGTAGATCCACATAGAGAACCAACATTGATCTCTTAGACTATTGGAGAGCCATAAAATGTATTTTTCCAGTATTATCAAGACTTGCCTTGGATTTTTCGCTGGTCCTGTCTCAATCATCTTATCTGAACAAATATTTAGTGCAAGTGGAAGAATTTTAAATGAAAGGAGACTAAACTTTCACCAAAAATGATTGAAGTCTCACATGTCTTCGAGATTGGGACGGTTATGCCATCAAGGTCAATACGAGTTGTCGACGATACTTTAATAGAATCATTTCAATTTTGTAATATAGATGATACAGATGAGGGAGGTCCTAGTGAACCCCAAAATTAATTGTTTTGTAAATTGTAACTTGTAAATAATTGTCAATTATTGCACTCTTTTCCTTACTAAGTTTTGTTCATTAGGTTTTCTTGGTGAGGTTTTAGCGAGACAATA